GAATCGGAGCAGTGCTCTGCCTGGTGGAGAGCCTCCCCAGCTCCCAGGCCCCCTGAGTTCAGGTGCAAAGGGTGCAGCTGAATCTGGGGCAGAAGGACCCTGTAGGACTCCCGCATCCTGGTCAGCACACTTTCCCTCTGGAGTCAGAGGACAGAGAACATTCCAGGCTCATTAAAGCATCTTCCTGCCTTGAGTACACGGCAAGGAAAGAGCCGATGTGAACACTGCGTGGGTGGATTATGCACACCAACTGTGGGAGGGTGGGGGGAGCACGCGGTGAAAGCTTTGATTTGTGCTGGGCTGGTGGTGTGGCTCAAGTAATAGAGTGCTTGCTTTGCAAGCCCAAAGCTCTGAGTTCAAACCCCAGTCCCATCAAAAAAAGAAAAAGAAACAGATGCTGGCAGTGGGGTGCAGTGTAGACTGGGGATTAAAATGACAGGACAGCATGAGGGGTGACATTGCCCATTTCTGGCAGGTCCACTGAAGAAGGGGATGGGTAGGGATATAAAGGGGGAAGAAGTCTGGCACACTGGGCACAGAGAGCAGGGAACAGGCAGTCCATCCCTTCCTTGTACTTGCCTGGGAAGATGAGGCCTAGCCCTGGGAAGGAGGAAGGGAAGGACAACAGGGCCCTGGGAGCGGCGGGCGGTGGTCCTCCCAGACAAGTCCCAACTGTTCAAACTGGAGCCGCCTGGCCCTGAGACAAGGCTGGGCCAAGCAGCTACTGTGGCTTTGTGGCAGATCTGACCACAGGGTGGGGTGTTCCCAGTGAGGAAAGAGTGGCCAAGCACCCACCCGGGGGAGGGGCAGTTCCTCTGAACCCTTGCCAGTTGGCCTTGGGCAGGGCTCATCTGGCTCACCTGAAAGGGCAGCCAGCTCCCATGGGTCTGTGGAACTCACTGGGGCCACAGGGATTTGCACCAGCGAGTCTGGAGGAGCAGCCATCTGGCTACCTGGCCTCAGGCACCAGGTCTGCCAGCATGTCCTGTGTGCCAGACATGCTAGGGACAGGGCAGGTGGGGAGAACACCCAGCCCTTACCTGCCAGCCAGGTAGAGCCACACCTTGGCTGGGCTGGACTTCCAAACAGAGCAGGCATGAAGACAGCTTTGTGTTTCTCTGTCCATGGCTCCAGGGCAGCCCTGCTGGGTGGGGTGAGATGTGCACACCATCTGCCTGGGAGCCTCTCCCAGCTCCAAAGGGGATATAACCATAGCCAGGTGACAGTCTCCCTGTGGGGCAGGCCCTGTGAAACTTGCTCTCCAAGCTTGGGCCACTCTGTGCTTCTCCCAGATCAGGGGCTTCACTCCTCTTTGGGCCACGTTGTGATAAAAGCAGGAAGCAGAGAGGGGCATGAACACGTTGACGGTGACAGGAAGACTTCACAGTCACCACGTATACCTAGACCACACTATCCCTACTGGCACCTTGGTCCCTCAGACCACTAACAAGCTGCTTCAGAAACAAAATTGTACACACACGTGCAAAACTACTGGTGCGGAAACCCCAGCCTGGCCCAGCTCAGCAGATTAGAGCTCGCCTCTATGTTCTGTTCCAGTTCCACACTACGTGTAAGTGTGGGTCACCACACAGCTCTCTGCCACTTGTGCCCATGACAAGACCACCCTCCCCCTAACTGTTCCAAGTGGTCACCAACAGAGGACAGGGCCAGGGAGGCCTTCCTATGCTCAGTGGCCCATTCAGTGCCCTTTGGCTACTGTGAGGCCACTCAGGGCCACTCAGAGGAAAGGCCCAGCACAGGGGTAAGAACCTAGGTCACAGACAGGACACATTCCCTGCCACAGGTGGTAGGAGAGAGGGAGGCTCACATCTGCTGTAGACAGGGGCCATGCTGACTTCCATACCTAGTGCTGCTCATCCAGAGGGGAGGAAGCTGGGGGGACAATCCTGGGAAGGACAAGCTGGGTGCTCACCAGGAGGCTGGACAGTAGCATTTCCGCAGAGGGAAGGGGCTCTGTCCCAGGCTGGCCACATATCACAAGGTGATGCACAATGCTGTGCTGCCTCTGGATTCACAGCACCAACACAGCACCCAGCACAGCAAGGCTCCACCACGGACATAGATCACCAGGCCTTCAGCCACCAGCCTGGGCAGCACCAGACCCGGTATCAGGGTGCGTCTGTGCACCGAGAGTGCCATCTGCAGGAAGAGGGGGGTAGTGCAGGGATGCCCCCCATGCCAGTGCAGAGGCAAGCTCCCATTTCCTAGTAGCCATAGCAACAGAAAGTACAATAAACAGTGAAATTAACACAAAATACCAGCTTTTCAACCTGCAGGCAACATAGAAAATGACCACTGAGCTGGGTGACGATCTGCTGCCCCACTCAGTCTCTGAAACCAGCCCGCAGCTCACCCTTCCAGCATGTTCCAATTTGGACCAGCTTCATGTCAAGCACTCCCCGCCACCTGCAGCTCATGGCTACCACATGTGACAGCATGGCTCTAAAGAGCTCTCCCATCCCTTTACCACACGTGTGTTCACATGTATGCTAAGTCCCTGGGAGACTCAGGCCTCACCTTGCAGAGCTAAGGCAGGCTCTTGTCCCTCCATCCTGCAGGCTGACAAAGGCAGAGCTGCAACCTTACAAGCAAATCCAGACAGGCCAAGCCCCGTCCTCTCCAACCTGGGCAAGGTGACAGTATGGGAGTCACACCAGCAGCTTCACAGTCATCATTGGCCACTACTGAAGGCCTGCTAAAGCCAGGCACTAAACGAAGTATTTACACACAGCATGTCAAAGTCGTGTTTTACGGTCAGGCCATAAAACAGTGTTCAAGAAAAAAGCAAGCTGCAAAATAAAACAATCCCATTTTGGTAAAACCCAAAATATCAGCAGTGGGTTTGTCTATACAAAGACGGCAGACTGGAAGCAATTATGCAAACTGTGGATGGAATTTCTCTCTAAGAGCAAATGCCATCAGGTGAGCATCACTTACAGCTTTTTGTTGGTTTGCTGGTTTTGTGCTTGGGGGGTCAAACCCAGGGCCTCCTGCATGTTAAACAAGTGCTCCACCACTGAGCTCCACCCCCAATCCCCCTCACACTTTTTCTCTCAATGACTGGACTCTGAAAAAGGCCAACCCTTGGTGGCACAGGGTGGGCACAGCCTTCCACATACCCACCTCTCCACTTGTGGGCCTCCCTACTGTATGGGGGACCTTCCTCAGAGACTCGGCAGCCTGGAGGTATGCCTGAGCCTGGAGTTAAGACCAGAGTATTCTCAGTACACAGGGACACCTGGCTTAGGGTGGCCAAACTGAGGACACATTTAATCAAGAAAGGCAATGTGCTTCCTCTCCCCTTCACATAACAAACCAGAAGCAGCCCTGGGCATAAAATCTTACAGTTCTCAGCTTTACCGTCTGCTAAGCCCCACCTCTGTGTTTTCAAAGAGATGGACACTGAGCAGTGCCATGCAACAGAGCAACAGATGCCACACACCAACTAAAGGGCCCCAAGACCCACTGCTCAGTGATGAGACCCTAGCCTGGGAGTAGCAACCCAAGCTCTGCAACTTTGGGGGACCTGGGGGCCTGCTGTGGTCTCAATGAGTCTCCCCAAATCCAGGTCTTAGAAACTTAATCTTCAGTGCAGCAGTGTTGGAAGGCGGGCCTTTGAGGAGACTCATGGCATCGCTGGGAGATGTAGCAAAAGGTGCGTCCAAGATGACCTTGGAACCGGGCACTAAACCTGCACCTTAATCTTGGGACTTTCCGGTCTTCAGAACTGCGAGAGTATCTGCTCCTCTGTGTAAATGTTCCAGCACAGGTTTTCTGTTATCACAGCTCACATGGACTAAGACAGGCCCAGGGAGGCCTCTTCAGGAGAATGTCTTTGCTGATTCTGAGCGGGTCTTCTTTGCTCCATTAGGCCAGACATAAGCAGAGGAGCCAGGAGACCCTTTTTTTGAGGAAAGAAAGAAGGTCCATACTTCAGGTATGTTGGGCCTTCTGGGGGATCTAACCTGGGAGGATCCCAGAAGGAATTGAGCTTCCTGATCCTGTGGCCCCAAGGGCACTGTGACATCCTCGCTCGATTCATGTTCAGGTATGGCCCCAAACTCACAGGTCCCTTGGGTCCCTGCACCCCAGAGAGACCTCAGGGTGAGAGCCAGGGCTCTAACGGATTCTGATCTTGCCTAAGCTGATGGTTCAGGACAAACGTACCTGACCTCCCCTCCCCTCAACCCTCATCCCCCTGGGTAAGCATGTGTTAGCCAAGTCTCTCCAGCACCCACAACTCTGCACTCCCCCGAATGGCCACAATCGAATCCATCTAGAATAAGCAAGACAATGCTCTGATGTCTAAGACACTGTCATTGGCCAAGCAAGTCAGAGCCTGGTCGCCAGAGGGCAGCTCCACGTGCCCACAAGTGCCCAATACCCAGCAAGTGTCTGCAGAGACCAGCTCAGAACCAGGTAGACTTCCAACCCAGCAATAGAACACACAGCTTCTTCAGATGAGGCCGTCCCAAAACATCCCTATCGGTTGGATCTAGTTTTTCTGTCTCTCATGGACTGGAGAAGGCAGAGGCAAAAGAAGAAGGAGGGTGGCCAGAGAGGCTGAGACCATCCAACTGTAACTTCTGCCACAGCACAGGCTTTGAGCACACTGCCAGGAGTGTGGATAAATTCAGCCTGACTCCCTGGCAGACAGCACCTGAGCCAGACAGAGCCTTCATCTATTTCCCTCTGCACTTCATGCTATTCACATCTCTTTCAAAACCCAGAGCCTGCCTCAAAAGTCCCTCTGCCTAACCACTGAACAGCAAGCAATGGAAGACAGTGGTTTGTGCTTACAAGGTCAGCCACACCTGTTCTTAGGATTAAAGAAAAGGCAGCGAGGGTCCTCATACAGGTCCTCATCCTTTTTAGAAAGAAAAGCCTTTTTGTTTGAGAAAACGGAACAAAACAGAAACAGGGTCCACCCAGAAATCCGTGGAGAAGGGCGAGAGAGTGCAGTGGCCGCAGGCACTGACCTGAACTTTCCAGTCCGCACCTGCAGGGCTCTCAGTCCGCACCGCTGGGCACCACCGACGTCGCCCACAATATCGTCCCCAATCATGATGGCCTGTCACGGCAGTGACATATGCTCAGAAGTGATGTCAAGAGAATTTTATTCCTGTGCTCCTTAATCTTTTTTGACATAATAAACTGCATGATTTGATGTTTAATACCACCATCGTACAAATTAAACAAGATAGTATTGTCATCTAATTGATTAAAAGTCAACCCACCTTGAATATATCTCCTGCTGCCCCCATGGGCTATGGCTCGAGGAAGTACATATTTGTACAATTTGAAATCAATCAGCAGATGTGAAAGTGATTTGGTGCCCAAGGATGTGTGGGGTTGCTGGCGCTTGGCCTCTACGTGAGCATAGGTTGCATTTTACTTGATGTTAAAGACTCTGTGATCAGGTGAACCAACCCTTGGCCTTTCGTTCTTTGAAAAGCTAAATTCCTGGCAAATCTTTGTAGTCTAGTTTTAAAGGTTTTGCTCTCAATATCAAAGATATTATCTGTCAGAACCAAAATATAACAAAATGTGCACACACACACACACACACAACACGCACACACACAACATGCATGCACGCACACACACACACACACACACACACACACAAGGGAAAGGCTCCCAGCCTGGATACCATTTCAAAAGGAGCTTCTGAAGCCCAGTGCTGATGGCTCATGCCTGTAATCCTAGCTACTTGGGAGGCTCAGATCTTGAGCAGGCAAGAAGTTTGCAAGACCCCATCTCGACCAATAGCCGGGCAAGGTTGTACGCACCTGTCATCCCAAGCTACAAGGGAAGCTGACATCAGGAGCATGGCAGTTCCAGACCAGCCTGGGCAAAAAAGGTTGCAAGATCCCATCACAACAGAAAAAGCTGACCACGGGGCATGCACCTGACATCCCAGTGACAGAGAGAAGCATAAAATAGGAGGATTGTGGTCCACACCTGTCTGGACAAATAGGGTGACCCTACACCAAAAATAACCAAAGCAAAAAGGGCTGGGCATGGCTCAAGTGGCACAGCTCCTGCTCAGCAGGTAAAGGCCCTGAGTTCAAACCCTAGTACTGCCAAAAAATAAAAAATAAAAAAGAGAGAGAGGTGGGGCCTTGTGGGAGGCCAGGGGGCCCTCACCAGACCCAGAACATATGGGGTCACCCAATCTTTGGCTTTCAGTCTCCAAAACTGTGAGCTAATTAAATTTCTTTTTATAAATACCCAGTCAGGTATTCTGTTACAGAATATGAAACAAACTAAGACAACCACCATCTTGGTTTTTTTTTTTGGGGGGGTTGATTTGGTTTGGTTTTTGGGACAAGGTCTCCCTATGTAGCCCAGGTTGGCCTCAAATGTACAATCTTCCTGCCTCGACCTCCTAAGTGCTGGGAGTACAGGTGTGCACCACCGCACTGGGCCTTATAACCATCATTTTATAAGCCTTGCTTATAGGCCAGGAAGAGCACCTTCACTAGAAACTGAATTTGCTGATACCCCGACTTCAGGTTTCTAGCCCCTAGAACTGTGAGGAAGCAAATTTCTGTTGCTTAAGCTACATATCTAAGCTGACTGATTCAGAGGGAAACCCAGGTAGACCCCAGTAGACCCCAGAACGGAGGAGACAGAGCTAAGATTCTGGGGAGACCAAAGAAGCATGAGTCCATCCCACAGAGCGTCAGACAGGAGAGGCTGCACAGGGGACCGTGGAGGTTCGCAAGGCCCCTCCACATCAGGAGGCTACTTCAGCACCCACGAGTGAGGAAGCTCCCCAGGGCCTGGGAAAGAGCCACATGATAAAAAAAATAAAAATAAAAATAAAAAATCAGAGAAAATGGGGCCTGGACCTCACACAGGCTTGAGCCTGTTCTCAAAGCCAGGCTGGAAACTCACAGGGTATCTCAGAGCGCCCTGCTGTGGGGCTGAGGAACAAGAGGTCCCAGACCTAACCTTGTTCTGCTGTCGCCTCCAAAATCATACAAGCAAGATATTTGGAAGGGTCAAGTGGTTTCCAAGTAATATAAAGCTCAAAAATATTTATGGGCATATAAAAACATCCAAAGTCCCAAAATGTAAACTTCACAATGTCTGGCATCCAAAGAGAAAACAGCAACAACAACAAAAAATCAGACAGGGAAGAAGGACAATGTCACACAAAATGAGGACAGAAGTCCATCTCCCAGAACTGGCCTGATCGACACAGATGTGAGCATGAAAGCGGTTCTTGCGATTGTATCACGCATGCGCTAAAAGTTCAGAGAAAATGGAAAATAAAAGAAATGTGCAAGTCAAGCTATTATAGATGAAAACTGCAAGGGCAGAGCTCAAAATGTACTAGGTGAGACCAAGGCCAAATTAGATCTTCAAGCTTACTAATCTTAAAGTCACAGCCATGACAACTACCCAGAATGAAATACAGAGAGAAAAAATAATTTTTTTAAAAAAAAGAGTATCTTTGAGCTCTGGCACAACTTCAAGGGGCCTGAAGAACATGTTACCTGGACAGGAGAGAGTGGACAGGAGACAGGAGGAGGCAAACACACTTGAAGAAATAATGGCAGAAATGTTTCCAAACTCAGCAAAAATTAAAAATCCACAGGTCCAAGATTCCAGCGAACATCAAGATGAAGAAGCATGACGGGTGTCATGGGGTCACGTGACAGCCAAACTGCACAAAACCGATGACAAGGAGGGAGCGAGAAAAGACATGTCCACAGAAACAAAGATGAGCTATCAGGTTTGTTGGAAGTGATACAAGTGCGGAGGCTGTACAGCATCGTCTGTAAAGTACTGGAAGAAAATCCCACCCACCCAGAATTCCTCACCCAGCAAAAATGTCTTTCAAAAGCAAAGGTGAAGTAAAGATACTTATCGGTGGTACTGGGGTTTGAACTCAGGGCCTCATGCTTGCTAGGCAGGCATTCTGCCACTTGAGCCATGCCCCCAGCCCTTTTTTGTGTTGAGTATTTTCAAGATAGGGTCTTGAGAACTATTTGCCCAGGCTGGCTTCAAACCGCAATCCTCCTGATCTCTGTCTCTTGAGTAGCTGTGATTACAGGCGTGAGCCACTGGTGCCCACCCAGATGAAGATACTTCAGACACCCAAAACTGAAGAACTCATCTCCAGTACATCCACCCTACAAGGACTGGAAAGGGAAGTCCTTCAGCAAAAGGAAATGATGCCAAATGGAAACATGGATCTACAGAAAGGAACAGGGAGCACCAGCAATGGCATCCCAGGGTGCATGCTGGCCTTTCTGCTGCTTTACCCCATTCTACTGCTAAACCCACCAGTCTTTCCAGACCCAGGTGACACCACCTGTCCTGCCCCACAGGCTGGGCTGCATGGTCCTCCCAAAGCCCCTGGTGACTGTCCCTAGTGATCCTGCACTATAATCAACTCCACATTTCCCTCCTCTGAAGACTTGGTAGCCCTGTGAGAGCAGGGACTCTGGGTTGATGACTGGAACTTTGATGGCTATCCACAAATGTGCACTGGGTGACTTGTCTTGATCAAGGTATGGCTATCACTGTGTGGAAACACTGTGGGTCACGCCAACAGGACTCCTCATCAGTCACCACTGAAGAGCTGGGGCTAGAACAGTCATGTGAGTGATGCTCAGACAGTTATTTGTGGGTCTCCTTTTGCCCTACTAATATAATTTAAATTGATCCTTACCGTTCTAGATAAATACAAGTATTTTTAGAAAAGAAAAGCAAAGTAAGCTCTCTCATCCCCCCACCACAAGAATCTGAGTAAAAGCTCCAAAACAGTTTTAGAAGACTCCTCCTCTGAGGTCTGCTAGTGCCTCAGACATCCAACATCACAGCTCTGCTCTCAAGGTCAACCAGGAATGTCCTTGGTCAGGGGCCAGGCAGCTGGACTCCCATAACAGGGTGAGTCTCCTGGTGCTGACAGAGGCAGTTCTTGCACCAGCGCCTCAAGGTTAACTGATGAACCCACAAACCACAACAACCAAGGACACAGTGATGACCCTGATGCATTCACAGCCTGTGGATCATGGGCCCATCCATTTGGGCTCTACCTGTGAGGACGGAGCCCACATGGAATTTTCTCTCCATGTGGGGAGAAGAGGACAACAAAACAGGAGGTAAGACAGACAGACAGAGCTCCAGTCTCAGACCAGCCAGGGAGGCCAAACTGGAATCCCAGCTCTGCTGTGTGCTAGCTATGTGACCCTGGGCAAGCCTCCAGTTCAATCTGTAAGATGGGTATAACTGGTGAGGTGCCTGAGCAAAATCATGTAAGTTAAGCATCTGCCACAGTGCCTGGATAGAATAAGCTATCTAAACATGCTAAAAGGGAAAAAGCAGTGTTAGGAAATGTTTACTGAGGAAACTCCTATTCCAGCCATGATGGAGACAGTCCACACGCTTCATCACAGGTACTTTTTGGTCCAGGTACTTGACACCTTGGTATTGAACCTTGTGTGAGCCAGGCAATGGGGACACAGTGCTGGTCAGAGTTGAGTGGTGAAGACAGATGATAATCTGGACTTGAGACAAAGCACAGGAGGCTGTGAGTCCTGACCTAGCCAGGAAGACTTCCTGGAATAGGTGAGATTTTTAGTTTGGGCCAGAAGGGCAAGAGGGGTCAACCAGGTTGTGGGGTGCAGGGGGACCATTCCCAAGGGGACACCCTGTGTGCTAACTACCCACTACCCACCCACCCACCAGTCACCAGGGCAGGCATAGGCTGAAGCCTGAAGCCTTTGTCCTGAGGAGCTCGCTGTGGAAAATGATAAAGACAGGTGCCACCCCAGGTCTGGGGAGGCAGTTTAGTTAAACACACAGCTTTCCTAACAATCAGCCTGGGTTCCTCACATAGACATATTCAAGCAGAGCCTGAGGGGCCCCTTTCAGAGAAGCCACAGGCAACAGTGGCACCGGGAGAAAGCAGGGAGATGACCGATGACCACCAATGCTACCAGCTGTCAGCAGCCACGGCCCCCTGCCTGACCCACCAGACATCTGCAGCAGGGTGGTGGCCGCCCTGTACTTCCTACTGCTCTCTGGTTTCCTCTGTGCTTTTCTCCACTT